TCATCATCATCATCATTGTCTTCTTCTCCTCCTTCCCCTTCTTCATCATCCATATCAGAAACCAAGTAGTACTGCAATGGATTTGGCCAAATATCATCTTTGATGACCTCTCCTAACCCATCTGCACCTGCAGCAGAATGGTCAGTAAACCAGGTAGAGAAGCTCTCTGGTTCTTCATGTGGCCTCTTCCTGTTGGCTTTATTCTGCATTTGACTTGAACGTTTCATCAAATCCTTTCCAGATTTCTATTTGATTTCAGTGGACTTTGAAGATGAATCACCACTCTCATTCAGATGAAATTCTTTGGAGAGAACTTTATTTTCAAAGTAAGGATTTTCATCAAAATAAAAATCTTTATTCTGTAACCTGATTTGAGATCTTCAAATTCTGTCATTTCAACTCTGGCCTCTTCATCTTCCTCCCCCAGCAGTGCAGACACTTGTGGATGGTTGACAAATGTTGTTATCCCAAAATTTGGGATTTTGGAGATCAATTCTGACCTCTTTTGAAAAAATGGTTGGCGGAGTTTGTTATATTTCTGTTTTACTTTCAATATCTCCTCATTGGCTTGTTCATTAAGTCTTTCTATTTCATCTTGTACTTCATCGATATGTTCAATTGCTTCTTGTTGTTCTTTTTCTGAGGCCCTGTCGGGGTTGGAGTTGAGCTCCTTTTTACCAACTTTGGCTGCCGGCGAAAAATTGTACCACTTAATTAAGGTTTTTAGTTTACATTTGGCCACCTCAAAGTAGTTGTAACATTAGATTGGTCAACAAAAATTCCTTGAACAAACTGTACAGTCAGAGCAGATTTTCCAACCCCTCCTGAGCCAAGAACGACTAGCTTATATTCACGCACGATGGAAATTTGTCAAAACTGAGTACCTCTCACGCTGTCACCGGGTTCCATAGCCAGCATCATCCCTCCAGGTCGCTGCTCTGGGCGCCACAGCGGTCCTGTCACTGCCCCTCCCAGCACTGATACTATTTTAAAAACATTTTTTTAGTTGTATATGGACACAATATCTTTATTTATTTTGTGGTGCTGAGAACCGAACCTAACACCTCACACATGCGACACAAGTATCACTGAGCTACAGCCCAGCCCCAAAGCACTAACATTTTGATGACTCTTTTTTATGTCAATTTTTTTAAAAAAATTTTCTTATAGGTATACACAATATCTTTATTTTTATATGGTGCTGAGGATCGAACACAGTGCCTCATTCTTGCTAGGCAAACGCTCTACCTCTGAGCCACAACCCCAGCCCCTTTTTAATGACAATTTAATGAAAGAAATGCAAACACAAATACACAAATATATTCAGATATTTCCCTTACACAATAAATCACACTTTATAGGTCATGTTGAAATTGTTATTACTACATAAAATGATATATTGAAACTCTGAGTTTTCAGTAGTATTAGTGAAGGTAGTTTACTTTTTTATTTGTTCTTTTTAGTTATACATAACAGTAGAGTCTATTTTTATTTTTTATTTATTTATTTATTTATTTTATGGTGCTGGGGTTTGAACCTAGGGTCTTGTGCATACTAGGCAAGCACTCTACCAACTGAGCTATATCCCCAGCCCATAGAGTCTATTTTTTAAAAAAAATTATTTATTTTTTTTAGTTGTTGATGGACCTTGTTTTATTCATTTATATGTGGTGCTGAAAATCAAACCCAGGGCCTCACACATGCTAGGCAAGCACTCTGCCCCTGAGCCACAACCCCAGCCCCAAGAAGAGTCTATTTTGACATATTTATACAAGCATGGAGTGTATTTTATTCTAACTAGGATCCCAGTCTTGTGGATGTACAGGATATCGAGATTCACTGTGGTGTATTCATATGTGTATATAGGAAAGTTATGTCAGATTTATTCCACTGTCTTTCCTATTCCTATCTCCCTTTCTTCCCTTCATTCCTCTTTGTCTAATTCACAGCACTTCCATTCTACCCCTACTTCTTCTTGGATTTTACCAGCTTTGTTCTTTATGCTCAAGATTACCTTGAATCTATGGGGTCTTTGGTGGTTTTATATGAATTTTAGAATTTTTTTTTCTATTTCTTTGAAGAATGTCATTGGTATTTTTATAGAGATTGCAGTGAATCTGTAGATCACTTAGGTAATGTGAAACTTTTAACAATATTAATTCTCTCAATACATGAATACTAGATGTGTTTTCACTTGATTATGACCTCTTTAGTTTCTTTCAACAGTCTTATGATTTTCAGTTTAGAGATATTTAAACTTCCTGAATTTTCCCTAGGTATATTATTTATTTTTTATTTTTTAGTTGTTTATGGACCTTTATTTTATTTATTTATTTTTATGTGGTGTGGAGGATCAAACCCAGTGCCTCACATGTCCTAGGCAAGTGCTCTACCACTGAGCTACAGCCCCAGCCCTCTTATTTCTTAAGTGGGATTGTTTTCTTCATTTTTTTAGTAGCTTATTATTATCATATAGAAACACTGGAGATTTTCACAT